GAAGCGAGGGCTGGAAGTTGACTGCTCCACATACACCAGCTGCTTGACATACTCCTTTCCCACAGGACTGTACTCCAGGCTCTGGGTCTTTTCCGGACACTTCTGCCTGGTCAGAACCAGCTGGCCGTAGGGAGACTGGCCCTGCTTGGGAGAGTGGTAGAGGGGGGCTGACGATTTGCGAGCAGGTGACTTGCCAGTGCTGTAGAAGGAGGCGTCAGAGAGGTGCATATCAGTGGGAGGCTCTTCGTAGATGGGAGGGGGCTGGTACTCTGATGGCGGCTCCTCGTACAGGGGCGGTTCATAGGCGTAGCGGGGTGATGGGGGCTGGGAGTCGGCTGAGGAGCGCCGGTGGGTACCGGCGCCACCCAGCTCAGCCCGCTTCAGGAAGGGAGACTGACGGCGATCAGCATAGAGGACAGGTGAGCCATCAGGTTCTGAAGGAAGGTTCCCTCCAGAGGAACGTCGGGCTCGGGACATGGTGCCCCCTCCTGGAGGAGCACCGGGGGTGGGGGGGTCACAGGGAGAGTAACCATTTCCCTGATGGGCCAAGAAGCTGGGCTCCCTGTCTGTCACTTTGATTAGCATTCGTTCCTTTGTGCCAGTGTTCCACCTGAAGGGAGATGTCCTGACAGAAGAGGAGAGGAGAGAAGACAGAGACCGGTTTCACCATCACATGTAGATGCCGCAACACTGCACAGTCATGAAAAAGGGGGTTTGTAAACCACAGTCGAACAATGATGCCAACTCTACACAAGCGGGATAAGGTATGAGAACTGGGGGAGGGGGAGGCACGACAGAAACATTACATTCCTATCTGTGGCTGGGGCTGGCAAAGTACTGTTGTTTTTAAATCATCTTGGTTCATTGAAGCACTGCAAAAGGTTTTAGTGACAATAATATTTAATGTGCAGGCACTGCCGCAGCTAAAATCCACCAAACAGCAGCCAATGGCAACAACAGACGTTTACTTCATCAGCTCACATTCACTCACTCATTGCGCTCATTGAGCAGGCCCTCCCATTCTGCTCGTCAGGAGAGAGGAGGAGGGAGAGCAGTGAGGGATGAAGAACAAGAGGTGAACTGGGTGAGAGGGATGGAAGTGTGAAATCGATTGCAGCATTGGCCACCCTTGTTTTGCAAATACTATACAGATGCATCCCCAGGGCCAGTGCTCAATAGTGGCAGTGTGTGTGTTTGTGTATTTGTCGATGTTAATATGTGTGTGTGTATGTGTGTGTGTGTGTGTGTGTGGGTGTGTGAGACGGGTGTGTGAGACGGGGGGGGGGGGGGGGGCTGCATTAAGCATAACAGGGCTGTGCTAGCATGTAGTGCAAACTGTTCCACACTCCAACCCACTTCTTCCCTCCATCAATCCAGTCACCTCTTTGCTCTAAAACTTCTCCTTCTCATGTGTCTTTCCATTCCTATTTTTTATCCACCATCCTGTTCTCTCCTGCTTCTTACTACACAGTGACTGTTGTTCTTTTTCTCCTTATTCTTAAATTATTCATGATAATTTGACCTTCAAATCAATTTACACATTGCCTGCCTGTTCCAATCTGTCCCCATCTGTCTGTCTGTGCCACTGCAGCATCATCATCCTTCCTCTCATTTTACTTCAACTACAAACACATTTCTATTGCTCCATCAGCTCAGAGTCATAGAGACATTCTACAAAGAAATCCTATTGTGGACAGACACTAGCTTTAAGTGTTTGAATGTTTATTGGGTCACCACTACTGTTTAGTACTGAACACAACTGTAGTTCTTCACTCACTTTCACTACCATTAATTTGGATTCAAAGAGAAGCTGCTTCTGTCAGTTTATGTAAAATAGGGGAGAATTTTTCTATGTTGGTAAAATTATGGAATCATGGACAAATGCATCAAACTGCATTCAAGATCCAAAGCACATGCTAAAAGTTAAAAGATGCATATTCATAACCTCATTGCCACATTTACCAACACATTCTTCTGTGACATAAAAGAAAAGAAAAGAAAGGTGGAATCCAACATTAGTGCACCATTTAACCTAGTGCACACTTCAACCAAAATGATGGTCAGTGTATTTCCTCTTGTCAGTCTCCAAACAGAGCAGAATGCAAAATGTATCTGACAGTTTGGTTGATATAGTGACTAGTTGCACTCCTAGCTCTAACACTGACTCGTCTGCAAATCATGATGCATGTCTTACAAAGATTTTCGTACCCAAGGGTTCAGAAAAGTGGATGGTGTGACAATTAGCATGATGGCTTTCTGTCTTTTTGACTTTCCAGTTTCCTCATCCTCTCAAATTTCAACACTACAAAGATGGTTGGCACCTGGTCAGCTGTAAAAACTGGAACCAAAATGAGCACAAAAAGCACAGCATTAATTCACTGAGCTTTTGCAAGGGAGTGCACTGATCAGAGGCATTCCTCTGAAACAATATCAGCTATTCCTTGCACAGTCACTATGCACCCTCATGAAATATAAGCCACATCAGTCTGATTATATAGGCTTTTTTGTTCTTTTCTTTCTGCCTTTAATTTATTTGTAAGAATTAGAATACAACATCTGGAACTAATTTGTTCTTAAATGCTGTCTTAGGATGCTTAGGACCTGTGATCACTGAAACACCTGTGATTTCCAGTTAGCCTAACTGCATAAACATGCTTGTAAAATGATCTCTCGCAATGATCTCGCAAAAAATCTGACTGTGATACTTCACAAAGACGGAAAAGGATCCAGGAATATGAAAGACCAACTAACAATCAGTCAGTTACAGCAGTAATCAGGAGGTGTAAAATGAGCCACTGGACCGCTGGCTAGCGGCACAGTTGACATCCTCCGACAATGACGCCACAGATCGTGCACCACCAGCACAATTTACCTCTACAAAAACAGATAGGTAAGCGTTTTAGACTTGGTACATGGGTTATCAAAGGAAATTAGAGTTTCTGATACAGCACAGATAATGTGAAGGACAGTGCACAACATGAAATACATAACATAAATGACATTCAAAAAAAATGCCCTGCTTAATCTTAAGCACGGTGATGGCAGCGCGCATAGACGCAGTGGCCACTTCAGGAGACAACAAAAATGAACGTTTTAAGTGTCTTGTCTATCCCAGACATTCTTTCCACAAAACTTGTGGCTGGGAGACTTTGTTGGGCGTCGGGACAGTGAACAGCACTGGAATTGCGGCAATAGGTTGTGATTTGGACAAACTACACCAACAAGGAGTCCAATCGGAGACTACGCCGGCAGTTATCCAAGAGGGAAGGAAGCGCAAACGGTATGAACTTAAACAAAGGAGGAGGAAGAGAGCCAGGATCCATGCTAAAGGCGAACTGTGTGTTTGCTTTAAGAGAAACATGGCTCCATGACACCATCCCAGATGGACATACAGCTGGAGGGGACAACATTATTCCGGGTGGACAGACAGACAGACAGACAGCTAGCTAGCTCTGGGCAGCATCTGCGGTTTCACCATCGTCACACCATCGTGTGTGTCTTTGTGTCCCAAAAGACCTACCAGGACCTGAAGAGGTTTGCCATATTCAACGAATGGTGCCGTGCATGGATGCTGCGGCCTCTTCAGGAGGCAGCGACAGTGAACGTTCCGCAAAACTTGCTGGTTAAATAATCCTGAAGAAACGTTCTCTCATCCTGCATGTACTACTGTGTATGTACAACAAAATGACAACAAACTTGATTTGATTTGAAAACTGTTATTTTCCCAGGTTATTAAATTAACCTCCATAATGTTAGGAGTGAGCTCCGAGTTTACAGGAAGTGGATCCAAAATGCGACAAGGGAGACAAGGTCAATAATAAGAGGGTTTTTATTCGGGGAAGGAGTGAGGACACCAAGGAAGCAGGGGGGGGAAGTGCCGATGCATGCTGGTCTTCGTGAGAGGAGGTGAGAGGGCCTATGGGCGGCTCCAGCGGTGTGCTCCAGTGCAGGGGGGGGGATCCGTGTTTCGGGGAGAGGGTGCTCGTGGTGCTTGGATCCAGTGGGGGAAAACCAAAGGGCTGCTGCTGGTGGTTGGCTCGAGATGGCTGGGCTGGGGAGACGTCAGGCTGAGGAGACTCTGAAGGGAATGCCGAAACGAAGAGGTCAGCATAAAACAAACAAATAACAAGCACGAGAACTCGAGATGAAGCATGGTCGATCTACCGCTCGTAGGGGAGTGAATCCTCGGGCGCCACATCATGGGGAGAAGCCAATTTAAGAGGAGTGCTGATTATGATGCGGGACAGGTGTGGTGGAGAGCGAGTGAGTCCTCCTCGACCATGCCCCGCCCAGCCTGAAAATGCAGCGCACACAGCAGCGCGGCAAAACACACAGGGAAAACACTACCAAAACGAAAGCACAAGACTCGACACTCCTGGCGTCCGAACAGAGTATGTGGAGACTAATCCAAAACAATTCAAAACTCGTAAGGATGGCCCAGAGGCTGGTCGGGCAGGAGGCCAACAGCGGAACCCATCAGGAGGCCGCCGACAGATGAGATGGAGACCCTCGGGCAATCGGGCTGGAGAACCGCAGTGGAGGAACCCATCAGGAGGCTTGCGACGGACGAGACGAGACCCTTGGGCGGCCGGGCTGAAGCCCGGAGACGACGGAGACAGGATCCCTCTGGAGGCCGGACTGGGGCCAGGAGTCGGCGAAGGTGGAGCCCCCCTGGAGGCCGGACTCGGGCTGGGAACCGATGAAGGCGGAGCCCCTCTGCAGACCGGACACGGGCCGGGAGCCGGTGAAGGCGGAGCCCCTCTGGAGGCCGGACTCGGTCCAGGAGCCGGCGAAGGCGGAGCCCCTCTGCAGACCGGACACGGGCCGGGAGCCGGTGAAGGCGGAGCCCCTCTGGAGGCCAGACTCGGGCCAGGAGCCGGCAAAAGTGGAGCCCCTTTGGAGGTCGGACTCGGGCCAGGAGCTGGCGAAGGCGGAGCTCCTCTGGAGGCCGGACTTGGGCCATGAGCTGGCGAAGGCGGATCCCCTCTTGAGGCCAAGGCTCAGGAGCATGAGAGGCCAGGGCAATGTTCTCTGCCAGCGGGACTGTCATCCCACTCTGGCAGGTCCCAGCATCTTGAGACGGCATCGGCCCACTCGGAAACAGGATCAGAGGCGGTGTCGACCCGCCCGGAAACAGGATCAAAGGCAGTGTCGACCTGCTCGAGAACAGGATCAGAGGCGGCATCGACCCGCCGGGAAACAGGATCAGAGGCAGCGTCAACCCACTCAAGAACAGGAACAGAGGCGGTGTTGATCCGCTGGAGGACAGGAACAGGATCAGGAATCGGCTTGGTGGCGGCGTTGACCTGTCCAGGAACTGGAACCGGCTCGGTGGCGGCGTCGACCCGTCCAGGAACAGGAGCAGGAACCGGCTCAGTGACGGTATCGACTCGTCCGGCAACAGGAACTGGAACCGGCTCGGTGGCAGCATTGACTCGTCCGGGAACAGGAACAGGGTCAGTGGCGGTGGCGACCCACCCGGGAACAGGAACCGGCTCGGTGGCAGCGTCAACCAGCCCAGGAACAGGAGCAGGAACCGGCTCGGTGGCAGCGTCGACCCGCCCGGGGATGGCCAGGATGCAGGACCGGTGTGGTGGGAGCGGCGGGACCTCCGCGACGTTCGGCAGCGGCGAGGTTTTGGCGCTGGGGAGCGGCAAGGCATGACGCCACCGGGAGCCACGCCTCCTCCTGGAACGCCCTCCAGGAAGCGGCTCCCTCGAGTCACAGTGGCCAGGCTCAGTGGGGTTGTGATGTGCTAACAAGGGGAAATCAAAACTCAACTTGGCCGGAAGATTTCTGCGGGACTGAGAGCTAGAGAAAATGTCTGTCTTGCTCACCAGGATGCTCTCTCTCACTGGTGAGCCAGATCTTTTAGCTGTTCCGAGCACTGGACGACGCAATATCCCGGTTGTCCACAGTACAGACACAACAGCTGCTGCATGCGTCACTGGCGCTCCGTAGGGAAACCAGCTGCATAGGCTCCTCCTGCGACAGAGTAGAATTCTCCGGCGATATCATTAGTTTAGGAGCAGGGAAATCAAGGTTCATGGGGGGAAGAGAGTCTCTCCCCAATAAGACCCTCCGAACCCGTGCTGCTCTCTCTCTCCTTCTTTCTCGTAAGCGATTATCAATTTTAAGTCAAGGAAATTAATTCATTGAGCGAGGTAGGCTCGTCCCGAGATGCCAGTTCATCCTTTAATTCTTCTGATAGATTACGGACAAAAAGGGTCCTAAAAGCGGGCTCATCCCACTCACACTCGGCCGGCAGAATTCAGACAGAGACAGAATAATCCGCAGCGGACTGTGACCCTTGTTTGCAGGCAAATAGGCGGTTTAACGCCTCACTCCCTTTAACGGGATGATCAAAAATCTTAATCAATTCAGTTGTAAACAAAGTATAAGAACTTAAAATGGACGACTGTTTTTTCCATAGGGAAGTGGCCCACTGAGCTGCTCTTCCCCGTAACAAATTCACACAAAATGCTATTTTAGCTTTGTCGGAATTATAGCGGGACGGCTGGAGATCAAACACTAATGTACAGTTTAACAAAAACTGGTTACACAAACCTTGTTCCCCCGAATAAGGTTCGGGCAAAGGAACTCTAGGTTCTAACAGAGGAGAGGGCGGTTCAGGGACGGAAGGGTTACTCACTCGAGTGGTAGCGCTAGCACTCTGGCTAGGTGCTGCGAGGGTGCTCATCTGAGCGGTCAGCTGTAACACGCTCTGCGAAAGCTCTTGCAGCGAATCCATTGCGCTTGCCAACATGTGGTCATGTCTGGAGAGGAGGATCGCTTGAGAACCAATCGCTTCCTTGAGGGTGTCGGGGGTTGCTGGGTCCATGTTTGGCCAGAGGATTCTGTTAGGAGTGAGCTCCGAGTTTACAAGAAGTGGACCCAAAATGCGACAAGGGAGACAAGGTCAATAATAAGAGGGTTTTTATTCGGGGAAGGAGTGAGGACACCAAGGAAGCAGGAGGGGGAAGCGCCGGTGCATGCTGGTCTTCATGAGAGGAGGTGAGAGGGCTTATGGGCGGCTCCAGCGGTGTGCTCCAGTGCAGGGGGGGGGATCCGTGTTTCGGGGAGGGGGTGCTCGTGGTGCTTGGATCCAGTGGGGGAAAACCAAAGGGCTGCTGCTGGTGGTTGGCTTGAGATGGCTGGGCTGGGGAGACGTCAGGCTGAGGAGGCTCTGAAGGGAATGCCGAAACGAAGAGGTCAGCATAAAACAAACAAATAACAAGCACGAGAACTTGAGATGAAGCATGGTCGATCTACCGCTCGTAGGGGAGTGAATCCTCGGGCGCCACATCATGGGGAGAAGCCGTTTTAAGAGGAGTGCTGATTATGATGCGGGACAGGTGTGGTGGAGAGCGAGTGAGTCCTCCTCGACCATGCCCAGCCTGAAAATGCAGCGCACACAGCAGCGCAGCAAAACACACAGGGAAAACACTACCAAAACGAAAGCACAAGACTCGAATCCACACATAAAATCATTCATTAAAAATCTGGCCATGATCTTCGAGTGAAGAAAAACTGAATCAAAAAATCAGTTTTATAAATCAGTCTCTCTGTGGATCTACCAAAATACTGGCAGACAAGATGACTCTCAGTCTGCAGAAGAATGGCAAAAGAGGAATATTCCAGCATGATGAAGCAAGAACCACTATAACTATAGTGGAGAATAAAGGCATGGTCAGCAGGTGTGTTGTGTGTGTTGTGTTTTTGAAAAATTCAATTCAATCCGGGGACTGGGCAAGACCAAGTACAAAAAGCATGCTCACCGATCAAACAGGGTTGTTTGGCTGCCAATAGCAGGGTTCAGACTGACTGTAGCTCTGCGTAAAAAAAAATGCAGCTCGACATTCATTTGACTGGAAGCCCTGTACTGACACAACAGGGGTGCCTACAGAGAAGGGTCTGACAAAAACATCCAGCAAAAAGGTTTGACCGAGCTAACCTTTAGCTGGAATGCAAAGTAATAGTATCTGCCACAGTGGTCAATCAAGTATGTGGCACTTTTCATGTACTTTCTTCTTCCTGATCTCTTGTCCTTCTGTCCATCCTTTATTATTGCTGCCCTCTTCTTCACGATTTGTCCCTCCCTCCCTTAACAGAATCCTTGGTGTGCAGGGAGGGAGAGATGTGTAGAGGTCAATAGCTCACATCTGTCAGGGAGGAAGATGTGGGATCTCTGACAAACTGCCTGTCCTGCTCTCCTTAGCATTCACTCTCTCCTGAGACTGTCTTCAGACTGACACTCATCCTCCTCACTAAGCAGACAGCCGTCTGCTAAAAGTCATATTGATAAAGCAATATGGCCAAAGAATACCATGCCATTTGAGTTCATGTTCAGTACTTAGTAGAAACAGATCATATCTGAATGCAGGGAGTGTGCAGGTTTTACGAGGCTCCTCTGGACTACCATGCTGGACAGATAAACCAGCTGACATCACCATCATTAGACTGGATCTTTACACTGGACTGTTTTCATACCAAAATGGTTTCACTTTCAACCCTTCTCACCACAACCAGTCGAGGCAGATGGCCATCATCCCTTCTGTTCTTTGTTAGGTTTTATTCTTTTTTTCATGTTCCCTCCTCACTGTCACCAAGTGCTTAAGAGGAATGTTGGTCCTGTGTGAAATGCTTTGAGATGACTTCTGTTATGATTTGGTGCTATTTACAGAGAACTGAACTGAAACTACTGTACACGCAGAAAGTGTGTGCATGACTTCACTAGAATGCATGTATACGTTTCTATTTTACTTGCACCAAGCTGAGCAACCACCAACTGCGGCCTTTCAAGCTGCCTTGGCACAGTACTAATGTTTTTCTTTTTCTTTTATTTATTTTTGGGTATTTGTCGAATCTTTATCAAAGTGCAGTTGAGGAGGGATAGGAAAGGTGGAGGAGAAGAGAGGGGAACAGACATACAGCAAGACTCACCACGGTTCTCAACGTATCCAGGGACTGATGCCCCTATTTATGGGTCGCCCGCTCAACCACCAGTTACTGGGTTGTTTAGTGTTTAGTGGGACAACACAGCACAGCAAAGGCTATTGCATGGTTTCTGGATAGCCAATGCAGAGTCATACTGCAAAAGGTACACATCAGTGTACTAAGAGGACAGTTGCATTGCCCCTCATACTAAACACAGAAATACACACAGGGTTCCTGCGGGTGTTTCTGAAAGGCTGTGACTTTGCCCTTTTCACAGGATATAGCAGCTGGTTACAGGTTGGGCTGTAGCATCTGTTACTATTCCAGATGTGCATGAAGAGCACTGTGCTCAGGATTTCTAAAGAATTTGGAATTTCTCACTGTGTCTGGGCTCCATCAATGGAAGGTGTGCTCAAGTCAAAGCACCTCCACAGTCCAGCAGTGACTACTTATAGCTCTCAATGAGTTATAAAGGTGTGGACAACTGAGAATCTCCTCACACAGTCTGTCCTCAAAACAAACATCTGTTGGAAGTGCCTGCACACAAACATCTGCTGAGGGATCAACATGGATTCTGGCAAGCTTGCACTGATGGCAACATTTATATCCAAATAGCCTTGCAGACATGCACAGAAAGCATGAACTGGCCTAAAAAGGGGGTGATTATGAAGGTTGTGGTGCTTGTATCAAACAACAGTCATTCTGGCTGTGTGTATTATTTAAAACCACTGACAGTAAGGGAAAAATATCACAATCTGCCAACTAAATCATTACCTAACAATTTCTTCACCAATATGTTTGTAAAGGTGTGTAATAACATGCCTTAAAATGTTGAAGTTCAACTCCCATGGGAAACCCTGGAAAAAAGCTGCTCAATTTAGGGTACCGATAAACAATTGACGAAAAATAGATAAAAAAAAAAAAATCAGGCCTCAAGTAACTTATGAGGGTCAAATCAGAGGTTTTTCATGATTCTGAGTTGATTGTTAGCATTTATATTTCCCCAAAAACACTCCATTGTTAAAAAAGGCTACACTCACGTTTACATTTACATTCACAGTTGATTTTATTTCACATACTTATATACTGCTCAAAAAAACAAAAAAAAAGAGGGAACACTAAAATAACAAATCCTAGATCTCAGTGAATGAAATATTCCAGTTGAAAATCTTTATTCATTACATAGTGGAATGCATTGGGAACAAATTAACACAAAAATTATCAATGTAAATTTAAATTATTATCCCATGGAGGTCTGGATGTGGAATCATACTCAAAATAAAAGTGGAAAATCACATCACAGGCTGATCCGACTTCAGTGGAAATTCCTCAAGACAAGTCAGAATGAGGCTCAGTAGTGTGTGTGGTCTCCACGTGCCTGTATGACCTCTCTACAATACCTGGGGCATGCTCCTGATGAGGCAGAATGTTCTCCTGAGGGGTCTCCTCTCAGACCTGGATTAAAGCATCATCAACTCCTGGATAGTCTGCGGTGCAATGAGACATGATGTCCCAGATGTGCTCAGTTGGATTCAGGTCTGGGGAACGGGCAGGCCAGTCCATAGCATCAATGCTTTCATCATGCAGGAACTGCTGACACACTTCAGGCACATGAGGCCGAGCATTGTCATGCATCAGAAGGAACTCAGGGCCCACTGCACCAGCATATGGTCTTACAGTGGGTCTGAGCATCTCATCCTGTTACCTAATGCCAGTCAGGGTACCTCTGGCTAGCCCATGGAGGGCTGTGCGGCCCTCCATAGAAATGTCTCCCCACACCATTACTGACCCACCAAACCGCTGGAGAATGCTGCAGGCAGCAGAACATTCTCCGCAGCGTCTCCAGACTCTGTCACGTCTGTCACATGTGCTCAGTGTGAACCTGCTCTCATCTGTGAAGAGCACAGGGTGCCAATGGCCAATCTGCCAATCTGCCAACCTTGGTGCAGGGCGACTGGCAAATGCCAGTCGCCCTGCACAGTGTTGGGCTGTAAGCACAAGCCCCACTTGTGGACGTCAGGCCCTGAGCAGAGACATGCATACTAGTGGCATGCTGGAGGTCATTCTGCAGGGCTCTGGCAGTGCTCCTCCTGGTCCTCCTGCACAAAGGAGGAGGTAGCGGTGCTGCTGCTGGGTTGTTGCCCTCCTACGGCCCCCTCCACGTCTCCTGGCGCACTGGCCTATCTCCTGGCCTCCTCTCCTCCAGGCTCTGGACACTGTGCTGAGAGACACAGCAAACCTTCTTGCCACAGCTCGCATTGATGTGCCATCCTGGATGAGCTGCACTACCTGAGCAGCTTGTGTGGGTTGTCGACACCGCCTCATGCTACCTCTAGGGGTGAGAGCACTGACAAGATGCAGACGTGACCAAAACATCATCAAGAAAGGACGAGAACAGAGACATGGTCTGTGGGCACCACCTACAGATCCCCTCCTTTATAGGGGTTGTCCTGCTAACTGCCTCTCATTTCCACCTGTTGTCTGTTCCGTTTGCACAACAGCAGGTGAAATTGATTCAGAATCAGTGTTGCTTCCTAACTGGATAGGTTGATTTAACAGAAGTGTGATTGACTTGGAGTTACATTGTGTTGTTTAGGTGTTCCCTTTATTTTTTTGAGCAGTGTATAATACTCAGAGTTATTTCTTATTCAGTGTCAGAAGCTTCTAGAGTCATTGTCTATGTCTTCTTCAGGCTCAACAACATCATGACTGCAATTTCTGCATGTAATGCCTTTACAGATTCCACAGGCCAAGATGCACATGACCCCATTCATCTTGCAGCTGGAGATGTCCATGTCCCCTGCACATGTTTTC